AATGATGTGTGATGTGATGTGACAACTACTTCGCTACACACTGAACAAAAGAGTAAAGAAGAGTGCCAGGGAAGACAAAAGAAAGTATTATGAAACCATGGCAAGTGAAGCAGAACAAGCTGCAGGCAAAGAAGACCTCGCAGCACTCTACCAAACAACTAGGTACCTATAGGGCAAAAGTTTGACACAAATTAAGCCGGTGAAGGATGACAATAGAAAGTCAGTCGCCCAAGACGTGGAGCACAGGAAACACTGGGCTGAACACTTCAAAAGACTCCTAAATCGACCGCCACCTACAACGCGCCCAACAATACCAACAGCCGAAGCAGAGCTACCAGTGAACATCAACCCCCGACAAGAACAGAAGTCCGGAAGGCAATCAAGATGATAAAAGCTGGGAAAGCAGCAGGATCAGATGGATTCCAAGCAGAAGCATTGAAAACGGATCCAGAGACAACAGCGGACTTGATGACGCCACTACTGGAGAAGGTGTGGAAAGACGGCAAAGTACCCGATGATTGGAAGAAAGCATACTTATTCAAATTACCAAAGAAAGGAGACTTAAGTCAGTGCAAGAACTGGCGCGGAATTATGCTCCTGTCCATCCCAAGCAAAATACTAAGCCGCATCATCCTGGAGAGAATCAAACAAGCCCTGGATGAAAAACTTCGACCGAAACAGGCTGGATTCAGGAGAAACAAGTCATGCATTGATCAGATCGCCACACTACGGATCATCATTGAACAAAACTTGGAATGGCAGTCACCTCTCTATCTCAACTTCATCGACTTTGAAAAGGCCTTTGACAGCGTCGATCGAGAGGTTCTTTGGCAACTACTTCGCTACTATGGGGTGCCACCGACAATTATACATCTCATCCAACAGCTGTACGACAATGCTGCATGCCAAGTAATCCACAACGGGAAACTTACGGAATCCTTCGAAGTGAGGATAGGAGTAAGACAAGGCTGCCTACTATCTCCAATGATTTTCCTGATTGCGGTAGATTGGATAATGCGACAGACAGCGGTGGGCAGCGAGGAGACAGGCATAAAATGGACCCATAAGGCGAACTCGGAGGATCTGGACTTCGCCAATGATATATGTCTGATTTCCCACAAATTGGAAAATACACAAGTGAAAAGCAACAGAGGAAGAAGCACCTAAGACAGGTGTCAAGGAATTTAGCTGAGTCTATTGCAACGAAACACGATATACTATGTATTATGAATCCAAACAAGTATACTTGAACAATTATATTGTTCGGCAATTAAAGTGAAGACAACTACAAAGTCTACAAACAAATGTTTAGTACAAATGAAGTTATAAGGTACTTTATTCGTGTTCTTTCTGCCTCACTTGCACGCGATGTAATTGGCATTCAAGTTGCCACAATGGCTGATATAAAAAGCTTGTTCAGTCCACTGACAACAGGCCTTCACTTCAGGTGAACATAGAGAAAACAGAGGTAGGTGATTCCCGGCCAACAGCAACAGTCACCGCAACAACAACAGACAACACTCGGCATGAATGGGATGAATCTGAAAAAGCAACCTCCTTTATCTACCTACCTATGTGAGAAGCATCGTTTCAACTGCAGGCAGACGGAACTGATGAGGATATCAAAGCGAGGATCGTTGGGAAAGCAAGGCAGGCTTTCATTACTATCAAGCCTGTGTGGAGGTCAACAGCACTCAGCATCAAAAATAAGATCCGGATTTTCAACTCCAATGTGAAGTAAGGGCTACTTACTACACGGATCAGAGACTTGCACTGTGCGTCATAAAGAGCATCTCAAACAAACTACAGACCTTCATTAACAGTTGTCTTCGCTCAATACCACTCAAGATCAGATGGCTGGCCAGAAAAGATCAGCAACAGAGATCTCTGGCAACGAGCGAACCAACTCAACATGAACCGATTGTGAAACAAATAGGCAGGGAGAAATGGAGATGGACTGCTTGGCCATACTCTGAGGAAACCATCAAGTGACATCACTAGACAAGCCGTCGAGTGGAACCCGAAAGGGAAGCGGCAAGTTGGTCGTCAGTGCGAGGGTGACTTGGAGGAGGTGATGTGAAGAGGAGATGAAAGCATGCGGGCAGACCTGGGGCCAGGTGAAAACTCTAGCAGAGAACCGAACGCAATAAAGACGTAAGGCTGAAGCCCTATGTTGCTCTTGGAATTAAAAGAATAATAATAATGCTAAGAAAATTTGTAGTATACATATATGTGGTTTAGAAAGCAAAAGGATTGAGCGAAGAAATATTTACTTTTCATCCATTACGGTTAAGCAAGCGACAAACAAGATCTATTCGTAGCTAGCTCTATTTTAGCACACCTTGTAGATAGTGAGCATAAGGTTGACGTTATTACAGCATTTAAAATTATTTATCACATTCCTACTAATCTTAATTTTGCTTTACGAGTTCATCTTCTACATACAGCTGAAGCAATAGGAATCCACCTGAAGAAGCCAAAGCTGTGTGTTCAGAAGACATTTGTACAGCCACTTTCCTTATCTTGGCCATCGTTACATGAATATATCAACCGGACTACTTCGCCCCCTCCTTCTAAACCTTTAAAAATTATAATTGTCCAAATTATTTTATTTATTTATTTTCTGACTACTTCATCTTTAATTACATATTATCATTGTCCAAATCGTTTTATATTCTTTAACAATCTGTTATATAATCAACTTGAGCACACACTTATTTCTTGATTACGCTTCACTTTTTCCAAAATTATGCATTACGGAATCCACATGTTGCGATAATTTCTACGTTTTAATTGTGTGTATTAATTTTCTTGGTTAACCATCACCCCACTCACTGTTTGACATGTTGATACTGAGTAATTATTGTTAACAAACATATCAGTGCCACTTGATTGGTTTTAGCAGATATCTTCATGTCAAATCTTGAAAGAACAAAGTTGAAGCATGCAATCGATGAAACAACTTCCTACTGTCGTTACGTTGATGACACATTTATAGTGTGCAAAAATGATAGTCATGCTTCACACCTACTAAGATTATTCAATGATGCACACGCCAATATTAAGTTCACTGTGGAACATGAAAGTGACGGGAAGTTCCACTTCCTCGACATCGCCATGGAACGCCTAGAAGACGGTAGTCTTCAAAAGTCAATTTATCGTAAGTCCACATGGAAAGGACAATACTTAAATTTTAATAGCTTTTGTCCAAATAGCTATAAACGAGCACTGGTCAAGACTTTGTACTATAGAGCGAGAAGAATATGCTCTACAGAGAAACTAGAGGAAGAATTTGAGTTTCTTGAAAAGACTTTGAAGAGCAATGGGTACCCTCAAAGGTTTATCAATAAGTATGGAAGATCTGCAGTCGCAAATGAAAAACTAATCACAGTAAGAAAGAAGCCAATTTACTTTGAGCTTGATTATAAAGGCGAAAACATTGCAGCGATGATCAACAGAAGGCTGAGTACATCACTAGCCATAGCCTATCCTGCAGCTAAGCTCGTTCCCGTCTTTCGAACAACTTGCTCTCTGATGCAATCAAAAATCGATAGATATCCTTTTCATGTTAACTCCAACTGTATATACAAATTTACATGTATCTGCGGGAGCAGTTACATTGGAAGAACAGAAAGAAGAGCATATCTACGATTTTCTGAACATGTACCAAAAAGCTTACGTCTAAAGGGAACAAATGCTTTAGGCAGTGCCATCGCCAGGCATCTTCTTGACACGGGTCATGAGGTGGACGTGGAAAAGTCATTCAAAATTATCAATAAGCAAAAGAGTTCAATGCTCCTTGAGTTTGCCGAAGCCTTTTCCATCAAGCGCCTAAAACCTGATTTGTGCGTTCAGAAAGAAGCAGTTATCAGTCTTTCTTTGCCCTGGTAACTGGATATTTTTCATCCTAATGCGAGATACTAAAAAGTTTTCATTTTGTATGATTATTAATGCTCGGAATTGTGTTCAAGATTGCATATATATACATATATGTATATATTATTAGTGTATGTGTATATCGATCGATTGATTTCTGTTTAAAATGAACTCTGTGTAAGTATGATAAATTGTTATTGTAGATACATTTAATAATGTTTTTGCCCTGTAAGCAGCTGAAGAGAAGGCGACGAAATAAAATATGGTACCATTTTATTCTGCAAAATCTGTAGTTGTTGCTTTGTTTAGATTGGTAAATTGTTGTGTATTGTAATAAAAATGCTAAACGTGTATATTAGAGTAGAGCCAGAGTGAGATGAGGATCTAATTGAAAAGTAAATATTTCTTCGCTTAATCCTTTTGCTTTCTATGTGTCTGAATGGGGATTATTTTTCCACATATATGCGGTTGTAGAGGTTGAGAATGATATCGCTAAAAGAGGAGTAACTCTTCCCTTAACGCCTTTTCTGCTACAGAACATGATTACATAATTGGAAACGAGAAACAATATCATTATGAAGAGTTGTCATTTTTAGAAAAAAAATCTCTGTTGTCTTTGTCAGTAATCAGTCTTTTGTAAATAGGAATATAAACAATTATAAATAATTTTAATAGTAATAATACATTTATTCCAAACAGTAGATTTGATACAATGTGGAATTGTTAGCATTTAGTACAATAGTGAATCTATCTTTCTGTTTAAATTTACATAGTACGACAGAAGGGAAAATAATTTAACAGGACATTTACATTGATAATATTAACAACCATAGATATTAATGAAAGAAAGAATTAAAAGGGCCATTGACTTAATATTTCACAGTAAGTTAAGCCTTTCATGCTTGATACACTTTTCTCATCAAATAAAAATGCTTGCCATCTCTTAGCTGTATAATAATTCACAATTAGACAAAACAGTTGAGTTTTTCATCGCTTTTTGAATATGAAAAGATGAATTATTAGAAATTAAAACAAAATTCTTGAATTGCTGCGTTTATGAACTTTGTACCTCTACAGAATTCTTTAGCTGATCTTTTCACAGAGGGCATGAATGAAAAATATGCGTACAGAGCATTTTCAAGAAACGTCCATATACATTCTCACTTCCGTATAATAAAACTTTGCAAAGTTAGTTACAAATGCAGCAGTTTCCTTGTTATTTCAGATAACTGTTGGATCACAAGTATGCATCAAAATGATTGTAGAACACTGAGAGTGTAGGCTACCAGCTTTGTCGTCAGTATTGAAACAAATAGTGTTCCATGGAAGGATAGTTTTACGCAATCATTTTTCTCATGTGATGACACTTTCTGTACAGCAAGAATACTCGAATTTTTGACACTTTCATTCGTATGCGTTTCTGTAGTTTTTTGAATTTCACTAGGAATAACATCTGCTCTGTTGAAGTGCTGATTAGTTCTATCGAAATCTTCACCTGTATAAGATTTAATATAGGCTATTTGAAAATCATTCATAATCATATCAGCACTGCTATCGGTTTCATTTGTAACATTCTGTTTTTTTAAATAACCAACAGATCTAACTGTCTTTTCACATCCACTTGGTAAGGTTTCACGAAAATAATTCTGAATTAATTCAATGATATCATTGGCACAATGACCGCTGAGAATGCTTTTGATACAATCGACTTTTGCCAATGTTCCACTGAAATGATTTTTTGGGGATAAAGGAAAAGATTTAAAAAGATTAGTCCGTTTTTATTCCTTTTGGACAGTGTTGTATTATGATGTATTTACGAAATACACTTCCAACAATCTGATCTCTTACACATTTACTTGTCAAGTCAATATTTTATGAAAAATAAAATCTCAATTAAAATAAATAAAGTGAAGAAGGATTGCAAAATAAGAAGTATAATCGAAACTAAGTTTTGTAATATGATTGGATAAAGATTTTGAGTAGTCAGTCTGTAAAGATTTGATTGGTTTCAAGTTTGACTGCAGACTGATATCAGTTAGAGAAATGTTTCAGGACGAAGGTGAACTGGACGGCTGTTTAGTAGTGGGTCTCGAACCTAGAACCCCAAGACAAGATCATGAACCATTCATCCACTGGGACCCAATCCAATGGTTCATGAATTCTAACTTCTATCAATTCGTGAATTTAGCCCGACTACCAGTCAGTGCAATCAGAAAGTATCTGTCCAAATTTCCAACAAGATGGACCCCACTGGTCACGACTTCTCACTGGAACTCCAGGCAACTTCGTCCTGTAGCCAGTCACTAGTGAGCATGAAATAAGGAATACCAATGTAGGTTAATGGAAATAATAAACTGCCTTTGTACACACATGAAGATGAGGGCGCGTTATTTTGTGAACAGCTGTCGCCTCAATGCATTTCAATAAGCTCTCATGACTGTTTCTACAAATATCCTTAAAATGTGTTTTGACATCAATCTTGTGATTCATCATGTCGACTAACTGTTTGGCTGTAGAGGAAACTGGCATTCTGCCACCTGCGTTTATCGATTTTTCACAGTTTATTTGCTTTTGTAGCCATTTGACAATATGCTCTCCCATCCTTACTTACAGTTATGACTACTCCCTATATATGTGTGACCATATACACCACATGCGAATTGTTACATAATGTGGGATGCAACACAATCACTTGTGCAATGTTTGGACTTGTAGTAGAACAAGTTTCCGATATTTTCAATAATTATAGGCCGGGCTGCTTTGTAGGTTCTAGGGTTGACCAACTTTATTCTTCTTCTTAAAATTCTACCATTTATTTCCCCACTGTATGGTAATTTGATAAAAACATGTTTCTCAGGGATAAAACAAACTGTAATCTTTGAAAATAACTGCCTTCTATATCAATGAAAAATTTTTAAAGGATATAGGTTTTCTATCAACCTCGTCTACACCTAAACAGTTAGTAGATATGAATCAAAAGATTGATGTCCAAACAGCTCTTAAGGTTACCCGTTAAAACAGTCATGGGCGCTTATTCAAATACGCTGAGGTGATAGCTATTAGTAAACTGACGTCCTCCCCTCTCGTGTTTGTGCAAAAACAATTTGTTATTACTTTTAACCTACTTTGCTAATCCTTATCTGATTACATAGGCGAATATAGTGTTAGTGTTTCTTCTTATTCTTATTCTTAAATACTTTTCGTCACTTTGTGCATTTTAATCAGCACTTTATTTTTCATATAAATTGACCTGACACTTAAATGCATGATGAGATTTATGGACTACGGACATGATATCGACTCTGTGAAGTCATTCAGTGTTGTCAGCAGACAAAGACAAGAAGATGTTTTGCAGCTGTAGTGGGTTCTGCAATTCGAGTTTATAAAGCAGGGCTCTGAACACAAAGGAAATGGTTGTCACTCTGAATCTACCATGGTAATACGTTTTACTTATTAACTGTTATTATTATCGTTAATATTATTAGCACTTTATTCTACCTATTATTAATCCTGATTCATTTCAAACTATCTTTTATCAGTAGCATTATCTTTACTCGTTTCAGAATTATTATTATAACTATTACTACTAATATTACACAGTTCGGAATTCTTGATATATAATCTAAAGACTAGTTGTTTATCTAAGTGATGTAATTGAAGTGCGATGCATTTTGTCTTAATTTTAATTCCTCATACTCCCTACCTTTTATCTACTTGAACATGACCTTAAAACATTCACACGTGTCATTTAGGATGATTAATTCATTTGTAGTTTATTTCCTTATGTCTCCCTGTATGTCGAGTATTCAGCTGAGGAAGAGTTCTAACGAAGTTTGATGAATTCATTAAATCCTTCTTTATTAACCTTTGTTGCCTGGAAATGTATTCCGCAAATGTATCAGCATATTATTCAGATAATCACCATCTTCTAATAACACTATCCAAAGGGGATAAACTTTTATTCTATCTGTTTGATAAACGCATGTTAAGAAAGTCATGGAGACTGTCATACACTTTTGATGATGTTAGGTGGTTGCAGGAAATCGGTAAGAAGCCTCGTCTGACCTAGATTTTGTGCTAGTTGGCACTCACTAGTCAGCAAGGAGCATCTGCAAACTTGAAGGAACTGATGTCCTTTCTGAGATTAGATCCAGCATCGCCCAGCGCTGCAGTCATAGACGTTACCACTGAGGTATTCGGGCTCGTGACTGACCTCCTGTTGGAATGTGTTGGAGTGGACACTAGTAACTAGTATGATGTGTCTATTCCTTTGTTTGGCGCAGACTTAATTCTGTCGGTCAGGTTTGTAATGCAAGCCCGAATAGCTCATTGATAACGTCTATGACTGCAGCATTGGGTGATGCGGGACCTAATCTCAGAAAAGACATGAATTCTTTCAAGGTTGCAGATACTCCTTGCTGACTAGTGAGTGCCAACTAGCACGAAATCCAGGTCAGGCGAGGCTTCCTGCCGATTGCTTCCAACCAACTAATATAGCATTCCGACTCATTCGTAATTCAGAGTCATTTGTAAAGTGAAAAAAATCTGACAAATACATTGTGTTTTCAACTTCTTTGTACTTCAGAAGCCCTTGCCATAGGCATCGAGGTACCAGACCTATGTGTCTAAAAGAAACTTGTCCAATCTCTACATTTAGCATGGATGTAGTTCTATTTGACTCCTTGGGTTTTTTCATTCCTTCCAGATTTTCATTTTCAGTTATAAAATTGTTATTTCATTTTTTTCTGAGTTCATCTGGTTCACACCTGCCTTTCTTTACAACTAATTCGCTTATTACGAAACTTTTTTTGAAACTTGAGTAGTTTTGTTTCTATGGCCATTGTGATCTATATTCACACCTTCTGACTTTCATATCAAGCCGAAAATTAAAATCAACTTTGTTTTTCCTCCGTTACTATCTTGAATTTAATAATAATTATAACTATATGGAACTATGTATATAAATGCGATTGTACAGCTTTTGAGGATGAAAATGCCAAGAAAATCATTTTTCTGCACTTCTTGTTCTCTTGTCTCTAGTGTCCTGATGGGTATTTTCCACGAACTTGTAGTGTACATTGTACGTTTGAACTTTTGTTTGAATGAATGCAACCTGACATGTTGAACTTGACTTCCACTTCCGCTTTGTACTCCGGTTCCTCCTGTACGGTTACTGTCTCGCTCTCTCGCTGTACTTTCACCTAGTACACTCTACGAGCCGACAACCGTCTCATCTCCAGATAAGTGTGTATTTTTTATTCCTTATCAAATTGCATATCTCGTTGTATAAATATAATTCCGGTCCAGTACACTTGCCATTTCGAGTCTTCTAACTTCGATTCCGTTCTTTAGTACTTGCACGTAGGCGGAGTACTAATTAAGGTTATAAACGGTGAAGGAGTTTTGTAAGAGTGGTTATTGTCAGGTAGAAGTAAACTCTAAGTCTAACTCTTACAAGTGGTGAGCCCGAATTTTCACCGTTGCCTACTTTTTAGCCTAGCGTGTAAATAGTCCTTTTTCATATTGGTAATTTGTTTGTCATACAGAGTTGTAAATTTTTATTTGCCTTGTTTTTACTCGTATTTTTTGTTGTTATCATATTTGTTGTCATTTTATTGATATATCGTCCCGTGTGCAAAATGTCTGACACCAGTCCCGCCTCAGAAATGGCTATTACCTTGCAACTCCCCACCTTCTGGCCTCAGCATCCTGCCCGATGGTTCGAACACATCGAGGCCATGTTCGCACTTCGTAATATACACTCACAGGAGACTAAGGTGAACCTAGTTATAGTAAGTCTTCCTGAGCACGTCATGGAAGATGTATCTGATGTCCCTGCGGACCGATCCCCGGGCTTGTACGAGCGTCTCAAGCAGGCGCTTATTAAGCGCGTGGCACTTACCGAACAACAGAAAGTGCAGGAGCTATTCCGAGATGTTCACCTAGGTGATAGAAAGCCCACCCAACTGTTACGTCAAATGAGGCCGTTGGTGGCCGACTTCAAAATAGATGATGCCTTCTTGAAACAGCTGTGGTTACAACGGTTACCCCAGACGATTCAGACTATTTTAGCCCCAATCAACCATTCCCCCTTATCTGAGCTAGCTGAGGCAGCCGATAGAGTAGTAGAGACTACTACATCAAACACGAATATCTCGGCTGCCGTTACCGCTAGTTCCACGCAGACTAGGATCTCCTCTACCGTGGAGTCATCCAACGTTGATGTGGTGGCTCACCTCAATAAGCTGTACGAAGAGATAAGAAAGTTAAAACTCGATAGGAGATCTAGAGGTCGTTCACATAGCCGCACCAGCTCGACTCGTGGCAGATCTTCGTCACGAGCTGGCAGCAGACGTCGTAGGCCTAAAAATTCCCAGCCTGGAGTGTGCTGGTATCACCGGCGTTATGGTGATAAGGCCCAAAAGTGCACTCGCCCGTGCACCTTTGATGGCCAGCAATCGGGAAACCTGTAAGCCAGCACGTATTGGCGACTAACGTCGCTGGCGAACCACTTCCATGTCGCCTCTTCTATGTTACCGACCGTACCACTGGGACACGCTTCCTAGTTGACACTGGGGCGGAAGTTAGTGTGATCCCACCAACATCTGAAGAGCGCAAGCGGCCACTTTCCTTACAGCTTCGCGCCGCAAACGGTTCGCCAATCACAACGTATGGCAAAAAGTTCCTGGACCTTAACATAGGCCTACGTAGGTCATTTCGCTGGG